AAATTATTTTAGATTTTAGAGCTACTGAGCAGTTTAGCAGCACACTTAAACCGTCGACAACTGCTAAGTTCATTTCATCCCAGTAGCTACTCCAGCGCTGTTGTGGAGAGTTTTTGAACTGTTATTTACTGCTTACATATGACCACTTTTTCAACTATTTTACTATGGGAGTTGATACTCCTTACTTTTACACTCCATACTTTAGATGATGGATACCGTTGACTAGACAAACTGACTATATGTACTTACATACAGATAACAGGGACTGCAGAACTGTACAAAGAAATAAGATGACCTGGCCATTAATTTCTTAACAACGTGTTGTCTTTTAGTACAAACTTTGGTTTATATGGATTAGAACCATGGAGGTTAGAGAACAGGAGAACGATCGCTACGTGCTAAAGCATGGTCTGTCTGGCCCAGAAAATTTATATACCGCAAATTGACACACCTCCGTATTTAATTGAACAGCTTGATCTTGAGAGTGATTTATTATATTTTACTGTACAGATAATACTAATAACATACAGAGATAATAAATAAGACAAGAGTACAGAGAATCAATAATATTTTTCACTAAAATCTTTTCCTTAGTTAAGTTCCTCTATTATAACAGATATATAATTATTGTTGACAAGCGAACATTAAGATTAATTTGTGCAAATAAATTATACGACATTCTTACAAATGAGATTATCAATTTCGAAGTAACGCGACAATACCATCTTTGGCCTTTATATCAAATATTCTTTGGCTAACTATTAAAGTTAATTTAAATATGTAACTAAAATGATTCCTTTTATCAGTCGTCAATTAATATCTAAATTACTTGAAACACGTACAATATGCGGTGAGAAATATATTCGAATGTGAACACTAACATTTAGAGTCAATAAAGAAAGCAATATAATGGACATGATAAGATACGAATTTCTGAGCATTTCAGAGTAAAATTATTCTTTTATATTTATATTGTCCTTTTTTTCTAGGTTATTTTTCAGGTAACGCCATATATACAGCTATAAATTCAATCGACGATTAGTCATCCCAGCGAAGTGAAGAGAATCATGTTTGATATATTATTATTTTTTTACAGTAAAAGTTATATAAGAAAAGTATTTTTTTATTCAATAGGTATACTGTGAAATATTTTAACACATAATAACAATTTTTTATATAATAAGGGTGACAAACTAGCACACAATCCACCCGATGGTAACTGGATGCTGAAGCCCATACATTTACATTTATCATATTTTGTTAATCTTTCCTTATAATGCTATTAAGGGCATGTCCACTATATTGATATCGCTATTTTTGTGATAAATTGCAATATTGTTAATGCAGCAAGTAACAAATTCACAATCGAGCTATAACTAAAATCAACACCAAATTAAATGTCATTTACACACATTTCATTTATATAAATACAACATGAATTTTTCATACACTTACAAAAAATACTACTCTATACACTGGACGACATTCTATCTATATACTATAATCTAAACTCGTCAGATCATACACATTTATCGAAAGGACATTTTTATTCGCATCTTACTTTTCTGGAATATCGGCTATTAAATAAAAAATATTTTGTAAATTTAAAATACCCGTGGTGTTCGATACAAAATAATAATAATAACGTAATTATTTTATTTTAACGTTAAGTAACAACAACAATATTTTCAATCAAAGTCATAGCGTTTCTCATTAAACAGTCAAATCCCCTTATTACGAGAGTTCAACTAGAGGGGCAAGTAAGGACTATATTTATAATATTGTTTATTTTATTATTTCTTACACCACATTTCTTAGAACCTAAGACATAGCCGCGTTTATTTTGAAAAATAAAGGCCTTTTGTTTTATGTTAAATTAAAAATAAATCGGTTAGATTATTTTATGTATATAAAATAAATTGCTAACTATGTAGTTGTAAAATGACATTATATTGTCTATAAGTATTTTTGATAATTAAGTTTAAGTATCCTTTTGTGAGTTTACTTATGTTTTCATAAATAAAAACTGTTATTTATTTCATTTTAGAGTGGCAACATTAAAGTGATAGGTTGGAATTACTGGTTAAGTTAGTCACGATGTACTGGCTGAATTAAATTAATCAATTTGTTTATATTCTTGAGTATCATACGAAAGTGATGCAGCCGTACAAAGTTTGTAAAATTCAATAGCTTAAATTTGACCTTATACATGAACCTTTCTTCTCCTAGCTATGTCATTCATATAATAATTCTGGGGTTTACAATACACCTGAGTTAAATGTTACATATATAACTATGTCGCTACACACCAAAAATATGTAGAACATTGAACACTGCGTCTTATTATTATAAAGGTACATTAGCGGCTACTACTGAACCACATTGACAGATGCCACCACAAAAGGGCTTCCATGACATCAACAATTATTACTAATTACAAACATATTACTTAGGTTGATTATGCTAGTATAAATCGAAGTCTCCTTTATTGTTTTTAACAATTATGTGAGATCATTTTATTGCATGCATATTTCGTATTGATAGTCATACTTTTGGTCTATTTTATTTAAACCACTAATAGATTCGATTGCACCATAAAGTAATGCATTAAAATAAACGACTCCACTCATTAACTCCACTAATCCAGTGAATCATTAGAATGATACATTTTGTAGTACTTTAAAAGATTTAAGATTACAATATACATAGTTCCGTAACTACTAACTTTATTGTGTAATTATTTTAGCGTGATACCGGGTCCTATGTTTAACAAGACAATAATTATTAATCCTCTGATAATTTTGATATTGTATAATACGATACTACAAAGTTGTTTAAATATATCGTAAGTCTGATTGTTAGAATTGGGCAGATCATGAAATGGCGGCCTATTATGAAATGACCAGGCAGATTACAATCTGCCCGATTCTACTATTGGCCTACGACATATATACGAATATGATGTCTTTAGATTTTTTAAAAGTGAAAATAGTGATATTATTGTCAAAATAAAACGTATAATTTACGCTAATGTCAATAATTTTTGGCCGAATATTATTTGGTCATCAAACATTAGGCTCACTCGACTAAGAAAATGTATATGCCTGTTGTACCAATGTCCCTTTAAATATATAAATAATGTAATATGTTCCTTGGTGTACAATAAAGTTTACTTTACTTTATATAGCACTAATCCACTTCCACGTCTAACCCATAGCAAATTATAAGACATTTTATCGATTACTATATTCAATTCAAAGATTAATATCTCATAAATACTTAACACATACTATAAATGCAAGAATTGATAGAGACAAGTAACAAGTTACACTGGCAACAAACACTAATAGAAGTAAATGTAATAAAAAGATTTACAATAATTGGTGCATAATAGTTTTTAAATAAAAAGGATTTATTACTAGGCTTTTTTTATAAAACTGAAGGGTTAGCTAAGATGATTTTTTACGATCTAAAACTTCTAAATGAATGGGAATGATAAATCTGAACCTTAAATCAGGTGACAGTCATGAGACCTTGCGTTGATTTCATTTATTTTGCACACCTCACACACGAAGCGGAGAGGATGGACTCTGCTGTCGAATTTTTTAAATCACTTAGCTAACCATCGCCTATTTGAAAATTTAAAAAAAAACAACAGAGCTGATTTGTGCAACATTAAGTTTTATAGAATAAGAGATATTACATTAGAACATATTACACCATTTTCTGGCAAAGCAGTGTAAAAATTCAGAGCTTATAAAGTACAAAATAAATCAACTAGACTATAACAGTTATTCACAGAACTTCGTAGGCTAATTACACCCAGTGAGCTAGCTCAGTTATGCTCAGTGTACAAAATGCAGAGCTTATTAGATACTTAATAACTTACTAGCCCATAAAAGCTATTCATAGAACTTTGTAGGCCAGTGAGCCAGCTCAGTTACGCTCAGTGTAAAAAACGCAGAGCTAATAACTTATTAGGTCATATTAAATTAACTATGCTATAAGAGCTATTCAAAAAACTTCGTAAGCTATTTACATCCAGTGAGCTAACTCATTTATGCTCAGCGTAAAAAATGCGGAGCTTATAGGTACATAATAAATTAAAGTGGGCTATAAGAGCTATTAAGAGAACTTCGTAGACTAATTACAACCAGTGAGCTAGCTCAGTTATGCTCAGTGTAAAAAATGCAGAGCTTATAAGGTACATATTTAATTAACTGGGCTATAAGAGCTATTCAAAGAACTTCGTAGCCTAATTACATCCAGTGAGCTAGTTTAGTCGTGATCAGTGTAAAAAATGCGGATCCTATAAGGTACATAATATATTAACTAGGCTATAAGAGCCATTAAAAGGACTTCGTAGACTAATTACACTCAGTGAGCTAGCTCAGTCATGCTCAGTGTAAAAAATGCAGAGCTTATAAGGTACATATTTAATTAACTGGGCTATAAGAGCTATTCAAAGAACTTCGTAGCCTAATTACATCCAGTGAGCTAGTTTAGTCGTGATCAGTGTAAAAAATGCGGATCCTATAAGGTACATAATATATTAACTAGGCTATAAGAGCCATTAAAAGGACTTCGTAGACTAATTACACTCAGTGAGCTAGCTCAGTCATGCTCAGTGTATAAAATGCAGAGCTTATAAGGTACATAATAAATTAACTGGGCTATAAAGCTATCTAACGAACTTCGTAGGCTAATTATAACAATTGAGCTAGCATATTTAAACGAAGTCAAAAACCTGATCATGAAATTTCACATAGCATCATAAGCGTAATATCATAAAATCACCAGTCTTTCTAAGCTATCAAACAAAATCAAGGATGTTAGCAGAGATAAAATAGTTCATCACACTAAACATGTAAAGTGATTTGTTAACTTACCGTCTCGTGTATTCGTCTCGAGACATGCGAGTATATGATAATTTAAGTTGGCTCGCCGAGCTAGATGATGAATTCGGTTGGTTCGCCGAGCTGGATGATGAATTCGTCGGGCTAGCTAATCGCACTGTAGGCGGGCGGAGGGGCGGCGGCGCGACTGGGCAGCAGCACCGCGATGTGATAGGGCGGGGGCGGACCTTCGCTGCTTCCCCCCTCCGCCCCTCGCTCCCTTCTATTCACTTCTCGCTCCAACCCACTTTCCACCGTTTCCGTGGTTAATCGTTCCGTACGCCGTTCTGATCGTTCTAATACTGGCAGAAGTGCTGGTAGCTCGTCTGCTGCCTCAGACATCTGAATTGAAAAAAAAATCATTAGCGGACAATTTCTCGATTGTTACATTATTTTATTTTATACAGGGGGTATTTTTCAGAGTAGCCAAATTTTGAACTTAAGTTCAAATATATAAATAACGATATACTATTATTGCAGTTATTGAAAATAGGAGTAAATATAGTTTTTACTTTTATTGAAAATTATCCCAAATTGAAAGCGACAAAAGCGGCGAAAGCGAAAGAATTTTGCTTACCCATCAACCCTTACGAATGTATACGTGCGCAGTAAAATCAGTTAAAATTATGCAATACCACGCATTTTGAATTAAAAATATAAAAAGGACAGAATTATTTTATGAAAAAATTAATGAATTTTTCTTCACCATTTGCTTATTACTTATTGTGAACATTTCTGCAAATTTGGCCGATTATTGCAAAATAGCCTATTGCAATATATATGGGGAAAAGTTTTGTCGTATTTTGTTTGTACAAAAGTAAGGAAAAATCTCTTGGGTTGTACTATTTGTATCTGGGTGGTTTAAATATATAAGAAATTAAGAAAAAAAAAGTGAAAACATTTTTCCGCCAGTTTTCAATTGTTTTTCTGTCCGCCAAAATGAGTGAATCTAACGAAGGAATTCGATATATTCTGAAGTTTTATTACAAAAAAGAAAAAATGCGACTCCGCTCAGACTGCGCCGCGATAAACTTTTTGTCGTTTATGAACCTAATGTAGGGTCAGAAAGAGGACCACAAAGTTGGTTCAAGCGTTTTCAGTCCAGAAATTTAGATATCAAAAATGCAGCTTGCTCTGGTAGCCTTCATACCGATAACGTCGATGCCATTTTGCTTTGCATGCAGTGGCGACCCTAGGGCGGCGCGAATTCACTCACTTTTCACTAACATTCCGTTTTGTTGACGCTAATTAGGAAGCCAAAGCACGAGTATTTTGTTGCTTACAAGCCAGTAAATCGGAAAAAGGACTTACTGGCCTCCTTCTTGATGCAATTGTACAAGTGTTTGATTTTGACATGAATGATTATCGAGGTCAAGGGTACGATAATGGTGCGAACATGGCAGGAAAATTAAAGGAGTTCAAAAACTAGAATTTGACTTAATATTGTCGGGCATTTTTTAATCCATGTGGTTGAAGTTATTGGAACTTAATTTGTTCATATTCGCAAATAAAATAAAATGATGTGACCAACCCAGTCTGAAGAGTACATTCCAACCCCCCTCAATTGCATGCACTATCCCCATAGCCTCCCAGTACCACCACACCCAACACCACTGCACTAGGGACGACACACCACTCTCGATAATACTATACGTGTTTCGCCTCTACACGAGGCATCCTCAGGTAAAGTAGTCTCTGCGGTAGCTGAAGGCTAAATGAGCGGCGAGCCGAAACAGTTGCTTTTTATACAACTTGCTGATCAATGAGTTGTATAAATAGCAGCGTGTGAAGAGCGGAGAGAGTGCTAGGAGTGGTGGTGTTGGGATTAGTGGTGACGAAGATAGTGTCAGCCTTCGCAGAATCTATTTCATCTGAGGATTCCTCGTTTAGAGGCGAAACACATGTATTATCAAGGGTGGGGTGTCGTTCCTAGTGTGGTGGTGCTGATAAGGGTGGCACATGGGAGTGGTAGTGCTGAAAATGGTGGTGAAAGTGGTAGTGCACGCAACTGAGGGGGGTGGGACGTGGGTGCTCTTCAGACTGGGCAGGACACATCATTGTACTTTATTACGCGGAAATGAGCAAATCAAGTTCTAACAACTTTAATGTAATGGAACTCCGCCAATTAACGCCTGTTTTTTTTTAATTATCGAAAAAGTTAAATATTTAAGCGTAACAATTGACCAAAAACTAACGTGGAACTCTCACCTTAGCAACGTAAATCATACGGCTAAAATTGTTTTAGGTACGTGCAGTCGTATGGTTGAGAACAACTGGGGCTTGCGTCTCAGTGTGGTCCTATGGCTGTACGGCAGCATAATGAGACCAATTATGACCTATGCCTCCATTGTCTGGTGTAATAAGGTCAACCAGAAGACGACTGCGGACAGACTAAATAGTCTACAAAAGACTGCCTGTTTAATGGCAACTGGAGCGATGCGATCATCGCCTGGAGCAGCTTTTATTGCACTTCTAGGCCTAACGCACCTTTACCTTTATTTAGACCAGGAGGCGAGGGCTTATTGTATAGAATTCGGCCTGCGCTTGCTTTCATGCTCGACTCAATTAAGGAAACACGGGTCTTATGCATGATCTCAGATATACACTTTTAATAAAAAGTATATTGTGGAACTACCCTCCAGAGAAGACCAGCTGAATGACTAGTTATCTCTAAGGTCGGTAGCCTTATATGGTACACTGAGGGGTCAAAAATGGGCTTTGGAATTTATGGGGAACGCCCCAAATTCAATTTGTTTTCTTTACTTTTCTATAGAAAATTCTATTGCCCAGAAGTTAAATTATTCCGAATTGAAAACGCATAAACCAGAAAGCTGGCCACTAGGGCGTTTCATTAAGTTTGTTGTTGGTACTTCTTTTATCTTTTTTAAGCAGAACAAGAGTTTAAATAAAAGTTGTAAAACAAGTGTAGTGGCGTTGTCGAGCGCAACAGAGTACTGCGACCGGAATGGACAACATTTCATGCCCCGAAATATCTGCAGGTGTTTACACCTGCAGATATTTGATAGGTCTAATACTATTTAAAATCGCGAAAAAGCAACTGCATATTATAGGAACACTAAGGTTTTGTATTTAGAGGGGCGTCACTATAAGATCTCGCACCGCCTAAAAATTATGCTAGGGCCGCCCCTGTTTGCATGCTCCATAGAATGCAGCGAAAACCCGAATCAACACGCAATAAGGTGCACGCACCTGCTGCGGTGCACTGACCTGCTGCGGTGCACTGACCTGCTGCGGTGCACTGACCTGGTGCGGTGCACTGACCTGGTGTGGTGCACTGACATAGTGCGGTGCACTGACCTGGTGCGGTGCAATTACCTGATGTGGCGTAATTCACTGACTTGGTGCGGTGCACTAACCTGGTGCGATGCACCAACCTGGTGCGATGTAGTGCACTGACCTAATGCGATGTAGTGCACTAACCTGGTGTGAAGTAGTGCACTGAACTGGTGCGGTGCATTGACCTAACGCGATTGACTTGATTTGACTTGGTGCGCGTGGGGCTGCGCAGTGGAGGGGCTGACGCGGTACACTGAACTGGCGCGCATGACACTGCTCGGCGGAGGACCCGTGGTGCGCTATAGTGCACTGACCTGATGCGGTGTAGTGCACTGACCGGGTACGGTGCACTAACCTGGCGAAGTGCACTGACCTGGTGCGAGTGACGCTGCGTGGTGGAGAACATGCTGTGCACTGTGGTGCACTGACCTGGTGAGCGTGGCACTGTGCGGTGGAGGACATGCGGTGCACTGTAGTGCACTGACCGGGTGCGGTGCACTGACCTGGCAAGGTGCACTGAGCTGGTGCATATGGCGCGGCGCGGTGGAGGACACGCGGTGCGCTGTAGTGCACTGACCTGGTGCAGTGCACTGACCGGATGCGGTACACTGACCTGGTGCAGTGCACTGACCGGATGCGGTGCACTGACCTGGTGCGCGTGGCGCTGCACGGTGGACGACACGCGGTACGCTGTAGTGCACTCACCTGGTGCGGTGCTCTGAACTGATGCGGTGTACTGACCTGGTGCGCGTGGCGCTGCGCGGGGGAGGACACACGGTGCGGGGTGGCGGGGTGCGGCGGCGCGCGCGCGCGGCACAGCGACAGCGCGCAGCTCACGCCGCACACGCACGCCACGGCCGCGCACACCACGCCTGCCTCGCGGCTCATGCCCGTGCGCACCACCTGCACCGCCCGCCAAACTCTCGCTTAATTACCTGTCTTACACCATCATTATTAAATGCATAATATTAACCATATAGTGCAAGAATATACACTACACCATATTATCATCCCAACAAATATATCCATCCATCCAAGTACATAGATAAGCACTTAAAATTATAAGTAACAATTCCATTTGTGCTAGCGGGGAATTGTTGGTGGCATTTAGGGCTCAGTATTCGAATATTCGTTTTATTCGAATATTCACCTCATATACTATTCGAATAATATTATGTAGAGTAATATTCGAATATTTCGAATACTTCAAATAATAATATAAAGATAAAGAATTTAATAATAAAAATATTTCATAACATGACCGAAATTTAAAAAGAATGATATATTTAATCATCACTATTGCCAGCACTAGTAACTCTTCGCAACAGCTTTTAAATAATTCACTTAGGGTGAAAGCGCCATGGTAGCCCGCGAATTTCAAATTTTCTTATGTTTTTTTTCAATTTGCAGGTCAGTGTCAAGCTGTATGTTGAAATAAAAATGATTCGCAACCGTAACGAGTATGTATTTACTGAATTATAATCATTATAATCATCAATACTACCCTCTAAGTTCGTATAATTCTATTGTATGACTATTTTCAGAAAAACTCATTCAAAGGAGTTATATGAACTTAGAGATACAACCCTCTCCTCTCTCTGGTGATTTTTATGATACATAATAATTTTTTGAACACATACTTGTTACGGTCGCGAATCATATTTACTTAAACATACAATCTTACACTGACCTGCAAATAGCAAAAAACGTAAGAAAATTTGAATTAATTTTTGGCTACCCTGGCGCTTTCACCTTAATGAGGGCATATAATTTTTTGTTAGCGATTGCTCCAACAATTGTTGAATCTGAAACAGTGTTTTCATCATGTAGAATGACATGCAGCTACCTTCGTAGCGCCTTAAATGATGAGTGATGACACTTTAGACTGACTTTCATTTCTCAGGTCATATTATCAAAGCAAAAAGTATTGATTAATAACTTTTTGATAATCTTTTCTTTTCAATTGTTAGATATTGCTTACCTTCTATTCATAAGTATATAGGTATATTGTCAAGTCAGATTTTTATTTCTTAATTTTGAAAAGACAAATTTTTTGGTTTGCTAATGGAAGTCGATTTTATTGTAATTTTAAAATGTTAACTTATGAATATTAATAATAGTGCAAGAATTTATTTCATTTAATTTACGTCCCAGAAGAAAAATTTGCAGAAGTTGATTAAATTCTTTTTCTCTTAAATTTAAGAGAAGCATATTTGTTATTATTTTTGTTACTAAAGTCTATCTCGTAAATCTGATAGTTGGTGATTTATGCCAATAAGTATTTAAAAAAATGTTGTTCGTCTTATTTTTCTTTTGAATCTCTACCTAAGTGTCAGTGTGCTATAAAACATTCACGAATTATGTGCTATAAGTATATAAGTTAAAAAACACGCTGTTCCTTAAGTAGTAGCATTCGAATAATTCAAATAGTATGTCAGGAACTATTCGAAATATTCAAATAGTAAAATTGAACGAGTGGCATTACATAACATTGGGTGGTGTTAAAAATATACTGGTACACCACAATTACATTTTTGTGAATTACATGAACAAGGCAAAATAAAAGTTTTTAACTTGCAATGATAAGTTAATAAATAGCTGATTTAAATTAATTCTAAATATGAATAACAAAGTCTGTCTTAAGCTTTTATGTTAAGCAAAAATTACTCAAAAAAAAATAAATTTAGATTCCATTACAAATAAACAGGTTTACCACAAGGATCAATGCTTACACCATTCTTATATAATAATAATGTCGTCCAGACCGAATTCCGGTCACGGCGGCCAGTCTCAACAGATGCTAGCCATCGGCGCAGGACAGGATTATAGTGCCCAAGTGTATGCACAAGCACATGTGCACTCCCTATTACCTCACTCTCATAGTTCGATGGGACTGTAAACAGATACGACAGGAGAGATCAGGCGCAGGACCAACGGCTTAACGTGGACCAGGCAGCTACTGAGAATTTCTTGATGGAAAAACTCAATAATTGATTTTTTGGCCCGACCCGGGATTCGAACCCAGGACCTCATGATCAGCAGTCCACATGAGTACAACCACTAGACCAACAAGGCATTCTTATATAACTTTATAGGCAACTCTATTTAAATTCCGCATGTTCTATCTTGACCAGGCTGAAATTGTTCAGATTAAGTATATACTTGATTATGAAAGATGTAATTGAAACTTTTATCCTAATTCTTTAAGATACTATTGAGTCAATGGTATATTATGTCAAAATTAATATTTTCATAATAAACATAATTTTCAATATATATTATAATTGATATAGACAAAACAAATGCTAAACAAACTTATGATATGACATCTCTATTGACCCTCTCTATGATTGATTTTGTACATTAGCGAATATCTCGGAGAGCCAACTTCAGTGCGCCACGATAGAATGTGGGAACTTTACATCACAAGCTATGACAAACATACTTTGGTAGTTTTTAAGTAATGAGGATCATAATGTGACATATTTACACAATATTAAGGTGATGTGTGTGATAAGCAGATTTTTCACTCTTTAAAAATGTAATTTTTTGTCATTAAAAACTACGAATTCACATTTTTTTATTTGTAATTAAAGTTAAAGATTTTTCTTAGTGAATTATGGTGTCCAAAACACGATTGACACATTTTGGCTCGATAGAAAAAGATCGCAAAAATTTCCTCAAAATCTACAATTTTAGGTACGTCCACTAAGTGAAAAAGCAGTTTCATTCGGATGTTATCAAATCAATTTCAATTAAATTCAGGTTATGTGGTCACCAGTAAATACGTGAGTGAATTTATTTTTCAATAAAAGAGTATTATCATTTTAAAAAGAAATATCAAATAAATATTGTACGATTAAATAGAGCGCGGGCCGACCAAGCAGTCCACATAAAGCGTGAAAAATCTGCTTTTGGCGCCCACTTCACCTTAAATATTAACTTATAAATGTAAAATAACTATACCTGTCTATCAAAATAATATTTGGCACCTGCCAAAAATACAGTTGCAAGGGCGAATGATACAAGCATTCCAAACTTAAGATGTGGGGCCATCATGGGTGAATGGTTGAGCCCCAATGCTGCAGTGCGCAATAATGTGTCAGGCGTTACGCTTCTCGCCGCTGCCAAACTGGCGATTGTGGGCTGAGGAGGTTCAGGTGGGATTTCAACATAGAGACTGGGTTCCTCATTTTGCCTTCGACTTGAGTGAACTGCTGGTATTGATTGAGGTCTGAAAGATTAATTGATATTTCAAATACCATAAAAAGTAAAAAGTGGTATAATATAAAAGAAAATAGCTAGTTATATTTTCATACCATCCTATGGTTGTCGTAACCAGCAACAGATGGAAATGTAACTGGAGATGGGCTTGTGGATAACAACTGAACCCAAATATTTAAAAAACCTGTACCTGCCTGCCAATTGAGGCAACCATGGCAAATATGCCCCATCCATCCATCCATCTTTTACAACCTATAAAACTTCACTGCTGCACATAGGCCCGTCTATAAAGTGCCACACTTGGCAGGCAGGTTGGCACATCGTCTGTTTCAGTTACCCTCTGTCACATCCCACAGTACAATATGGGGTAGTGGATGCTACACCACCACTACAGTGTGTTATTATTCAACTGTTGTGAATGATACAATCATAGTATGACACACATGGGACAATATGGGATATTGGATATTCTTTAGGTGGGTCTACCCTATAGGAGCCGAGCACGAGCTGAGTCGCTCTACTTGGGGTGTCAAGTGAGGATGTACAACGAGCCTACAACAATCACTCTCCTCGAAGGCAGTTTTCCACAGTGTGCTCGTTGATCATGGTGGATATGAATGAGTCTTGGGATATATAAGACCATGCATCAATCTTATTTTTTTTATAGTAATCCTCATGTTTTATGTCCCATATTGTTAGATTATTTTGATATACAGTAGAATGTCGATTAACTGAACAACCGCTTAACCGAACTGCTACCTCGGTCCTTGGCATCACATTGGGATGTGACCACTTTCTCGCTTCTCCGCGCAGTGTCTCGTGTTGGCCTACATTTCGTACCGATAAAATATATATAATACGAGATTAACAAACGATTAGAGAAAGCCGAATCTGCAACCAAGTTGTGTAAAAAGTACAAAGTGGTTAAGCTGACAATTACGGATATAAAAACCAAAAGATGACCATATCCAATTTTATATGCAAGCATGATATTACTAATTGATCTCGATGACGCTGTTTACAAGTGATTTACACAAAAAAAATCTCAAGGAGAACCATCTCCGATGTGTTCTATGTGAAAAGGCAAAACATTAAATGAAAAACTTGGAGGACCGTCGAACTTTCAAGCAAGCACGGCCTGGTTAAAACGGTTTAAGTCAAGATGTGGCATTCGAAAGCTTCAAATAAAAGGAGAAAAACTGTCTGCTGGTTCTTCAGCAGCTGATTCTTTCAAAAATCAAGGGGCCTCTGTCGCCACCTCAGCTGGCGGCACTTGTTATAAACATTTATGTTTCTCACGAACTTTCCTTTATGTTTAAAGTGGTTTTAGTTAGTTATTTAAAGCCGATAAGATTTTCGATAAGTAGAAACAATAACCATAACATTTAAATGTTTATTTTATTTTGTACAGCTCTTTGTTTCTAACGGATCTTGATAAAGTGTACTTACTGACAATAAATTTTATTTTATGAATGAAATATCATAAGTTTTTATTTTATTTTTATGTCCTTACAATCAATACAACATATTCTTCCTAAATGAACCGAAATTATGCATGTAATAATTATAATAATTCTACTTTTTCACTTGCAAACATTTGCTAAAAATTCGACAATAGACAGTTTGCACGCGCTTTGTAAACTCATTTTCAAAACCTTTTTGTGTATATATTTTATATCGTCTTCCTTTATTTTTCTTATACAATCATATGGATATAACATTTAGCAATTCCTAGTAAAAGTATTTACTATGGTATTCCAATAAGAAATATACTATTATTATCTTATTAGAAATCTTGACCGTTATGAATTGTTTGCGTAGAGGTTATTTGTTTCTACTTTTTTTATCAATTGAAACATAAAAAGTTACTGTTGTTGTAACTTAAATCATTCAAAAACATTACGTAGTAAAGATAAATAACTGAAGTGTAAGACTAATATGTATGCTCCTTTAGTTTAGTAAGTAAGTACGCTACTTTATAACCGTATGTATGCTGAGTTTGCACTATACCTTATATGCATTATTTTAGATTATTACCAGCGCATTCATTAAATAGTACGTAACTAATGTAGTCGTTTCCTTGAATAACACCCATTAGGAACCCCAACATTACATGGCGACCCTGCCAGGATACTCTGCCAAGGGGATTGTTAGTTTTAGTATAGTTAACATAACTACTTAATAATATATTATAATGTGTCGGTCAACTGTGGAAAAAGAAGAGGTTTTCCTCAGCCAAAACGCGGCTGGAGGCAACAATGACGCCACGTTGAAAGAAATCGGAGGCCACGTGGAGCGGCTTAGCATTGTGACCTATATTGTTCTGGCCATTATTGGACTCGTAGCAGTTTATGTGGGCCTGCGGATGTACAGGAGCTGTCACCGCACATGGATCCAGCAGGAAATTGGGATGAGTACCATTCAGAGAATCAGATCATCCATCAGAGGGCGCACATAAGGTAACCAGAATCAGTAATTAGAAGTGAATGCATAGTGAAAGTGAAAATAAGTGTTGGGGTGAAAATAAGTTTAAAAATAATGATAATATAGAATTTATCAAAAGTGTTTGTGATGAAATAACAACACTTAGTAATTGGTCCGGACCGCGAATATGCATATTACGAGGCGTAAAAAGAATAGATGACGACAACGATAAGACACTTATTATGAATGACATTTACTGCCATCCAGCGGTCATGCTGGAGTGCGCAGAATGATAAATACAATCAAAAGTCGATACTATTGGCCAAGTATCGACAAGGATGTCCAGGAATTTGTTAAAAAGTGTACAAAATGTCAGAAACATAAATATTTTCGTAACATAAAAGAACCGATGGAAATTACCACAACAGCTTCCTCGGCTTTTGAAAAGATATACTTAGATGTAGTGGGACCCTTAGATAGAGACGAAAATGGTAATTGTTATATATTGACTATGCAATGCGAGTTAACAAAATTTGTACAAGCTATTCCTTTGCAAAACAAAGAAACAGTGTCCATTGCAGATGCATTTGTTAGACAGTTCATATTAAGATTTGGTATTCCGACGACAATAGCTACAGATCGAGGAACAGAATTTATTTCTGCAACCATGGAACAGGTTTGTAAAATACTTAATATAGAAAAATTATCTTCTACAGCCTATCACCATCAGTCGATTGGAGCTCTTGAAAATGCTCACAAAACTTTGGGTGCATTTTTAAGGATCCAGTGTGACAATCATACGGATACATGGAGCTATTGGTTACCATTTTGGTGCTTCAGTTTTAACAACACAGTCCATTCAGAAACAAATTACACGCCATATGAACTTGTTTTTGGAAAACCTTGTCAAATACCCGATAGCATAAGTAATACCGTAGAACCATTGTATAATATAGATAATTATCCATTACAATTAAAATACAGGTTACAATTAGCTCATGAAGATGCAAAGAAAAATTTGCTGATTATTAAGCATAAACGGAAAGAAATATATGATAAGTCTGTCAATTCTGCAAAATATGAGAAAAATGATTTGGTTTTGGTAAAAAATGAAGCACGTAGTAAATTAGATGCAATATTTAAAGGTCCCTATACAGTTATGGAAGATTTAGGTTAACGTAAAAATAATTAAAAATAATAAAATTGAATTAGTACATAAGAATAGTACTAGGCCTTTTTGTCAATAGATTTGAATGTAAGATTTAATTTTAGATAACATTGCAATGTATAATGATAAGGATAAACGTATGTACCATTTTATTTGTAATAAGTAACTTATGTCTATTAAACACTATTATTTTAAAAGATGATACTTCAAGTAAATATCTAGTAAAAATTATGTAAAAAAAAAAGAATGTACCTAATTCTTTTTTTTTCTATGTCCTCGGGAGGTGAAGTGTAAGACTAATATGTATGCTCCTTTAGTTTAGTAAGTAAGTACGCTACTTTATAACCGTATGTATGCTGAGTTTGCACTATACCTTATATGCATTATTTTAGATTATTACCAGCGCATTCATTAAATAGTACGTAACTAATGTAGTCGTTTCCTTGAATAACACCCATTAGGAGCCCCAACATTACATAACATTACTTACAGTTTTTTTGAAAGAAAATCCAACTAAAATCACAATCACAAAACTTCAACGATTACGCAACTAACCGCACCAACAGCGCAAAATCGAATGGCTGTTATATTTGATTTTGTCTATGTAACCGAGTGAATATAATTCTTCAGAATACTCTTTAGTTCGTTCAGAATCGAATAAAATAGTATTCAATCGAAAATATACTGTATTTTTATATCAATTAATGACGAAAATAGCAGCAAGTAATGCGGACATGAATTCATGTCCGTGGTACTCAGCGGTCATTTGCAAACAATCATCTTCTGTCCATGTTTCCATGACACTCAAGCGTAACGTATGTCACTCAACACATCCAACGAGCGCAATGCAAATCCCTTTGTGTTCGTCGGACATTATTTTCTGCTCAGCTCAGGCTCCGCTCGTGCCTAACTCATCTAACCTTTACAGCACCACTACAGATTTCTCCTCTGTATGAAGCAAACTATACCCTATGGCCAAAAAGGTCACAACCAAACAATTTAAGCCAATAATATTGCATATAACATTCTATATAAAATTTTCTATATTATAACCCTAAAAGGCAAATGGAGTGAGTAGTATCTTATGCTGTCCTGTTAATTTTTTAGTTTTAATAATACTAACACATAATGCCTAACAGGCCGATGAGGTCGTCGCGGGGGACAGTCAACAGCTGCAAACCGGTGGACAGGTACCGCCATGCCCTTACGACCGCGGGTCCGCCCCACGCCTGTTAAAACATTCGCCCATTAGACATCCCAGTTATTAGTCTTGTTATAAAATTGTCTAGTTATAAAATTGGTACACCACAGCCAGAAGTTGTTACCTATATAATATGATCAATTGACAAAAGCAATAATACCAGCAGATAGGGAGGACGGCACTCGATGGCGACCGCTGTAGGCGCACTGACTACGTTTATCTATCCAGAAATGCATCAGTACGCGTACAATATCGTTGTTTCCCAACTAGATCGTTGTTATATATCAAAATTGCTCCTTATTTACAGTCTTCATATCTGAAAGAATTTTATCTGAAAGGTAGGACGAAAGCTTCGGTTTATTATAAAAACAAAATATAATAAATTTAGTTTCTAATTACTCATTTATTTATTGACAGTTTTCTTCTGGTTTATTTTGTCAGAAAGAAAATGAATAAGTGTAAAAATATTTTATTTATTTTATAAAATATTTCACGTACCTTATCATTTAAAAAGCATTTGTAAAACACTTTTAAATAAAACATAACGCTTCATTACTATCCATCCCTGCTGGTGTTGGCCTAAACAACAATTTCATTATAATTTACGAAAAACAAACATTTTTTTACAATAATTTTAATTATAATAAACACAACAGTCTCCAGTTTATTTACTTTAATTATTAATAATTTATATATCTAATCTACACATTTTTGCACTTTCAACCATAATTATTTTTTATGCCTTCAACTTTCAATTTCAGATTTCAACAGTAGGATTTCAATTTTTCAATTTTCACCCGTGACAGTTTAGTTTCCATTCCTGCCAAGCTTTGGCGCTACCGTCGCTATTTGTTCTCTGTCTATACTTCCCGTATATATACACTCTTGTCTATGCTGTATACAAATATTCCTAACCTTATGAGTTTTGGCGGGAATTTGACCATCAACGGAGTTTTGCACCTGTTTTATCGTTTGAATAATGGTATGAAGTAGATTTTGATAGGTAAAAGTGGTATTTAATTGAACAGATTCATTCTTTACAAAATTACGAAGGGCTTCACATGGCTAATAATTTAAAATGTGACACATTAATAATAAAACCACCGGCGAATTTTCCGGACCGATACGACTTAGGAATCTTCAAGAAAAGAGCGTCCTCTTTTCTAAAAGACCGGCAATGCATCTAAAATTCCCCTCGTGTTGTGTGTGTTGCGCCCTCCTTTCTGCTGCGCCCTCCTTTCTGCCAAGGAGGGTCGCGTTCGTATACGGCTTAGAAATCTCTAGTAAGACCGTTAAGCCAGTCCCTAGAAGGTGGGGTTTAGTGGGTAAAAGTTTCCACATAACCACGCAGCCGGCTGCGTGGTATGCTATGAGCATTCCCACCTCCCTCCCCCGTTTTCTGGAGAGCTGCCCATATTTGCTTCGGGCGCAAAAAAAACCCTGGTGTTGCGGTTGTTCTTGGGCGGCGGTAGTCACTTACCATCAAGTGAGCCACTAACCCGTTTGCCCTCTCTTCTATATAATAATAATCATCATCATCCCCACCAGCTGGCTTGGTGTCGGCAGGGTCTTCGCGGGCCCAGCAATCGGCACCCGCCACTGGTGGAGTACGCCGCATGCGTTGGACAACTCAAATGAACAGCAACGCATTGCGGGCGTATTTTAGGGGGAAAGAGGGAGAAATTAGAGGTTTTGCGTATCGGGCAAGGATGCATCGACTTTTTGCTGAGCTGGAGCCATCTGTAACCGTCACCGAGCAAAACCTGGCAGACCGAGTTCGGGTTATCTTGCGCTCAAATACATTTGATGTCATCAAACCCCAACGGCTACGACGTGAGGCTGTTCCTTCATCGGATGAAAATGCTACGGCTGAGGATGCGGCACCACAACTTGCAGAGCAACCGGCAAACGTGGATGCCGCCGTGAATACCCCAGGTTTGGTTGATTCAAACTATGATGGAACAGTCGCCCAGGAACTGGAACTGGAGCAAATAGGAGTACATTGGATGAGGCGATTTTGGAAACGCGCAGTACGCCTCTCGAAAATCGACCGCGACTTCCCCGCATAGCCCTCAGCAAGCGGAATCGGGCTATCGTGAGGGCTCTGAACCCAATACTGGTGACCTATTTGGAAGCCAGCCGGGACCTTTGCGAGACGGACTCAATTCTCTTTGGCGCCGCACTGGCAGTCTGCCGTATTATAGGCGCCAAACTTTCCACGGCTGGACACACTACTGGACAAAGTAGTGCTATCCCAGCCTGGAGAACAAGAATTGAAGAACGTACTGCAAAGGCTAGGGCCCTCATCGGCAGACTGATATGCTTCAGGTCAGGCAATACCAGCCCAAGGATTGTGCGCACCGTCAGGATGTCGTTTGCTGGGACAAACGTTTGTCCCAGCCGGATATAATGCAAAAACTGACGGAGCGCATAGACGACCTGAAGCAGAGAATCACTGCTTGGGGAAAGCGGATTCAGCGATATACCGAGAGGTCTACACGGTTCAACCAGAATCGTCTCTTCCAGAGTGATCAGAAGAGGCTCTATAAATCATTGGAGCGACCAATGGTAAGTGGAACGGGCCCAGCACCGAATCAGGCCGACACTGTAGCATTCTGGCGCGGCCTGTGGTCAGAGCCCGTTAACCACAGCGAGGGCCCTTGGACGGAAGTTGTGGCGAGTCAGTATGCGAGTATAAGGCCCATGGACCCCGTTATTATAACACCGGATGACGTAGCTGAGGCGGTCCGTAGGGCCCCGAACTGAAAAAGTCCGGGACTCGACGGGCTGCATCACTACTGGCTGAAGGGGTTCGAAATGTGTCACACTGTGCTCGCCCGACAGTTTCAAGTGGCTTTCAACCAGAAGTCGCTCCCGAGCCTCTTCACTACTGGGATCACCCATTTGATTCCTAAAGACCCGGGTACCACAGACCCGAGAAAATACCGCCCCATTACGTGTCTACCGACCATATACAAGACACTAACATCCATTTTGAGCGCGAGAATCACTCGTCACCTGGACTCAAATCAGGTGATGTCGCGCGCTCAAAATGGATGTCGGGGGCGGCAGTCGTGGAACCAAGGAACCACTCCTCATTGACGCGGTCATTGGCAAAGTGGTGAAACGCAACCGTCGGAACTTCTCCGCCGTCTGGATAGATTACAGAAAGGCATTTGACTCGGTGCCCAATACATGGCTAAAGAGGGTCCTCGAGCTGTACAAGATTGACTGTGTGGTCGTGGAAGGAAAAGGGGAGAACTCCCGCCGGGCAATGTGTTATGCCCGGGGAGCGGCCAACGCTCGGTGTTATAGTTCGGAGATGTTCTATATATGCTGTTTATGATTCGGAATGTTGGTAGCGTGATTTAGGCTTCGGTGTATTTCGCTTGTGGCGTGACGACAGCGCCGCCACATCACTCCCTGCTCAGACCGGAGGTCGATAGTGTAGTCTCGTTGTCGACGAATTTGCAAGTGCCAGGACATTGCCTTGTAGTCTGCGTTGAGTCGAGAAGAAGGCAAGTAATCTGCGAGAGTGCTGTGAAGCAGAGGTGAGCAGTAAGGCACACAGCCGTGCCGAACACTGTATAGTGCAGAGAGTAGCTTGAAGGAACAGGAAGCATTATTATTCCAGTGTTGCGATGAACCCCGTGAAGTTTATGGCTTGCAGGATATGAAGACTGCAGACGATATCTGCTCTGGAGCTAATGGGTGGGCTATTCTATGACGATGATGAAGCTTGAAGTTTCCGAAGGTTGTTGGTTGCGTGTTCAGATCACGTCGGGTGGTCACCACTGTGGCCGTGGAAGGAAAAGGGGAGATCTCCCGCCGAGCAAGGTGTTCTGCCCGGGGACGGCCAATACTCCGAGTGATAGTTCGAAGATGTTCTATATATACTGTTTATAATTCGGAATGTTGATAGCGTGATTTAGGCTTCGGTGTATTTCGCTTGTAGCGTGACGACAGCGCTGCCACAACTGTATAGTTCGAGACTTCCTCGAGCAGTCTATGGGGCAGTGGAGTACGATCCTCTGTCATCAAGGCGAGCGGATGACGGCTGTGGAAAGCCGCATAAGGATAAGAAGGGGGTATATTCCAGGGCGACTGTCTGAGTCCAATTTGGTTCTGCCTCTCTTTGAACACTCTCAGTACTTTACTGGAGGGCACCGGGAGGGGATTTCAGCTTCGGAAAGGAGGTACAAAAGTGATCCACCTTTTCTATATGGATGACCTCAAATTATTCGCCTCCAGTCGCTCCCATCTTATGGAATTGCTAAACATCACTTGTGAATTTAGCAATTCTATTAGAATGGAGCTGGGGACGGATAAGTGTGCGGTCCTCCATGTTGAAAGGGGAAGGGTTGATAAATCTGAGGGCATAGAATTATCTATGCCCGTCAACTTAAGGACCCTTTCCGAGGCTGAAACATACCGATACCTGGGTATGTCACAGAACATCGGTATCGATGAGGCTGGTATGAAACAGTCAGTTTGTGACGTGTTTTATGCACGCTTGACCAAAGTGCTTAACAGCCTTTTGTCCGGTGTGAATAAGACACATGCATATAACGGCTGGGTCATGCCTATCCTCATGTATACCTTTGGCATACTCAGGTGGAGTCAGACTGAACTAAATGCCCTGGATAGAAAAGTCCGCACAACAATGACGTCCCATAGGATGCATCATCCGAGATCGTCGTTAATGAGTCTGTACTTGCTGCGAAAGCATGGTGGGCGTGGCTTCTTGAGCGCGCTCACCATGCATAATCGCGAATTGTGCAGCCTCCGTCATTACTTCCTGGCGAGATCGGATGATCCATTCTATAATGACGTCATTTCTAGTGATAAAGGACTTACCCTTCTATCTTTAGCCAACGAGCAATGGCAGGACCCGGCAGTACAGAGCATTTCCGACCAGGAGACCGTATGGAAGGAGAAGGAGCTCCACGGGAGGAACTACAGAGCTCTACATGAGCCCCACGTAGATACAGCCGCCTCCCTCAACTGGCTACGTTTCGGTGACCTCTTCGGGGAAACCGAGGGTTTTATCTGTGCAATACAGGATCAGGTTATTAAGACCAACAACTATCGGAGATACATCCTAAAGGATGTCGCCTCGGTCGTCGAGCTTGTCGCCATCCCGGGGAGTCACTTAGGCATGTCATCTCCGGTTGTTCGGCGCTTTCTAACTCTGAGTACTTGCACAGGCACAACCTAGTAGCCAGAATTTTACACCAGGAGCTTGCTCTGAAATACGGTCTCGTGGACCGGAAATTGCCGTATTACAAGTACTTGCCGGAAGACGTGTTCGAAAATGACCGCGCCAGGTTCTACTGGGACCGGGCCATCATCACATACAGGACTATTCTTGCAAATAAGCCTGATATTTTGCTGATAGACCGGGCACATTCAAGGATATTTTTGGTCGACATTACCATTCCGTATGACGAGAACCTCGTGAAAGCCGAAACAGATAAACGAACAAAATATCTGGACCTGGCTCACGAAGTGACCGACATATGGGGCGGTCTGCCGACTGAAATTATTCCTGTAGTCATTTCTGCAAACGGGCTAATCCCAGTCAGCCTCTCGGGTCATCTGAGGCGACTGGGACTCCATGACGGACCGCTTCGGGCTCAAATGCAGAAGGCGGTGCTCCTCGATACCGCCCGCATCGTCCGCCGAGGGCTTCCATCTGGTTGGACTTTTATTTATTTATGTATTTTTGTACCATACCATACCATAAACACTCACGCCTGTCACCCAGAGGGGTAGGCAGAGACTACAGATTTCCATTTGGCACGATCCTGACACACCTCTCTCGCCTTCTTCACATCCATACACCTACGCATACATGCTCGTCGGTTAAGGGTACTCCTAATTTGGCCCGTTTCCAATAAATCGCCAATTTGGTCGATTTGACAGGCCTGTTGGTCTAGTGGTTAGTGACCCTGACTGCTAAGCCGGAGGTCGTGGGTTCGATTCCCACCCAGGACAAATGTTTGTGTGATGAGCACGATCATTTGTTCTGTGTCTGGGTGTAATTTATCTATAATATTTATGTATTTAAAAATATATAAGTATGTTTATCAGTTGTCTAGTACCCATAACACAAGCTCTGCTTAGCTTGGGACTAGATGGCGTTGTGTGATAGTTGTGGAATATTATATTATTATATATATTATATTAAATTTTCGCCTAGGATGTCCCTTTCCGACTCTGCCATTCACTTCTGCAACATAAATTTTCTTTGTCACTCTTTCCTCATTCATTCTTTCCACATGACCAAACCACCGAAGCATTCCTTTCTTAATCCTGGTCACAACATCATCTTGCAAACCACACTCTTCTCTTATTACACAATTTCTTACCCTGTCATTCAGATTCAGCCCTAACATACTCCTTAACGACCGCATTTCTACTGCGTTTATTCTACTCTCGTGCTTCTTCTGCCACACCCAACTTTCACTACCATACGTTAAAGTAGGGACCAACACAGCATTGTGAATTGCCATACGTGCCTTTTTCGACACATTTTGACTCTTCACAATAGAGTGCAAGGCCCCATTTACTCTATTTCCCGCATTCACTCGTCGTTCTATATCCTTATCATATCTCCCATCCCTGCTAAATACGTAGCCCAAATATACAAACTCATCTACTTGCTCGATCAACTCCCCTTCTATTCTTATTTCACAAATCGTTTTACTTTCTTCTCTTTCAAAAACCATAACTTTCGTCTTACTTGCGTTCACTTTCATACCCCTTTCTTTTAATGATCCGTTCATTAATGTAACCATCATTTGCAACTCGGCCGCCGACGACGCAAGAATGACTTGATCATCGGCGTACAAAAGGCATTTGACGGTTAACTCACCCATTCTTAATCCGCATTCTTCAACTTTCAAATTTTGCAAACAACTGTCCATAAATAGGTTGAACAGCCACGGGGAAGCCACACAGCCCTGTCTGACACCTTTATGGATGTCAAACCAGTCCGAGTAGACCCCGTTGATCCTAACACAAGCACTAGAGTCCCTATAAAGAGACTCCAATGCCTGTATCAAGC